GATTGCGTTCTGTAAGTTCTTCGTTGAAACGAAATTCTCTCGTTTCATTTCATGTAAAATAAATTTATTATGTTGTTTACACTGTTTTATAATATCATAATATTCCTATAGTATATACAGGAAATTCTTTTTTACATTATTTTTTTCTTTTTTTTTCTATGGAAATTTGACTTACACCACTTTCATAATCAATGGTTACACAATTTCTTTTACCGGTCAATTTTAAATTGGATAAAGCATTGACATTTTTTAAGAAAATAAATACAAATAAGTTATAAATAGAAAGTTTACACTAAATTAAGTATAAATTACGTGATATCTCATTTTTTTTACAAAATGGACTTACACCACTTTCAAAATAAACGGTCCATATATATATATAACAGTGATTAAATATAATAATAGTGAATAATTAAGATAAATACTTATGATCAATTGTGATATGCATACCTGATGTGCAATGATAGGAAATACGTAAACATATATAATACTCATTTGTATCAATCGAGTATTACGACTTTGACGTGGATAAGTACCGTATAAGAATTGAACTAATGGATTCATATATAGAAAGTGTTGTTCGAAGTAGGTTAAACCACTAACTAACATTACGAAAGGTTTTACGTTGACTAAATTGAAGAAAAAAATATAAATCTAAGGCTTAACTTTTTCCCTTTGGATATTTTTTTGTACCATCAATTTATTATAATTAATATAGGGACACGTATATCGGAGAACAGTGACACGATAATAATAGCATCATTATTGTACTTATAGACTGTAACGTTTAAAAAAAATATTTCTCCCTTAAGATAATTTTTTTTTTTAAATCCAATAATATACTTGCGATACTATTGAATTGGAAGTAAATATAAGAAAAAAAAAAACAGGTGGTAAAGTTTCCAGCAATTAAATGAGGGTAGGGGAGAAATTCCCCATTAGTATAATTTTCAAAGACATGCGCAGAACAGTCTGCTCATCGTAATCCTTCTCAGTTGTTGTTCGACCATAACACAGTTCGGTTGGATTAAACGAAGAGTACAATATTTTGTTGATTTTATCGATAAAAATGTTTGTAATATTTCGTATACTGGGTTTTTTAAATATATTAAATAGTTTTTTATATTTCTTTTGATTAAAGTGTATGAAATATAACAATAAGGTTTGTTTAATATATAACGTTCTGTTTTTTTTTCTTTTTTTTTATTATTATTATTATTATTATTATATTCATTTTCTGCTTTACAATTTGTCCGTGGTAAATTAGATAAATTTCTTTATTTATTCAATTTAAGTAACAGATGTAAATGGTAATATTACTATCTCAATGGTAATAGTTTTCTTTTACAATTTTTATGTAGATAAGTCAAAAGAAAAAATGGGTTGCGTTATTATTTAAATTTAATTACATTTTCAAACATTTATGTGTGTTGCAATTCCTGTCATTTATTTTTCAATTATTGTAAAGTATACTTGTTTAAAGAAGGAACAGTATTTGTAAAGAAATGAACAGTGTAAGGTCGTCTAGTTAACATAATCGATAACTAAGCTCATCCGTATGTTTTATACACGTGTGAACGGTTGTTCGTTTACAGGATGTTACAAAATAACCTGTTATAACTACGAACACTGTAATTTTATTATCAACGAGAAATTTGGAATATTTTGTCACTAAATGATCGATAGTGTTTGAAGTATATTTGTATTTGTTTCGAAATAAATAGAAAGAATAAGAAGAATTAATCAATTGTGCAAAAATTTAAATAAATCGTGATTATTAAAATTAGTTTTTCTATTTTTGAATATAAGTTGATAACGTTTCTTTTATTCTTGAAAGAAATGAGATTTTTTTGTGATACGTAATAAAATATTAAATATTTTTATATTATCCTCCCTCCCATATAATTTCAATTAAAGCGTATTGTAATATACCATTGCAAACGAGAACGCTTTTTGGATTACCTAAAATAATAAATTTGTTTTTCTAATATATTATAAAATTTAAACCTAACGTTTTGTAAAAATTGCATTCAACATTTTAAGCAAACGTAATTAATTTCACTTACCCCAGCAAAAGTTTCATGCGATGCGACGAACATACCACCAATCGAAAGTTCAATCGGTTTGTTGCCTCTTGTTATCATAAATAACAATAACTTTTGTGTTTTAATAGAAAAATTATAAAATGGCACTTGACATCTGTGAAAAAAGTAAAACAATTATTTTTATATATATAAATATATATATACACGTACAACTTATAGCTAATAAAATTCAAATTTATATTCAATTAGAATAATAAAATATTTTCTACTTTTTAAGTTCAAATTTATTTTTTTTTAATAATTTATATATAGTAAATAACATTATTTCGAAGTTATAAAATATCTTACAATTCTTCTAAAGCTGCTCTGCTGTAATCAATAACTACTTGACCGATATAAAAATTAATATAAACAGTCATTATAGATCCAACGATTACGACTGAACATTCGAATGTTTTACTTGTATTTTGCAATATGTCGGATAATTGTAAAATCTAAAACAAACTATAATCTAGTGTAATACCAAAAATATATATACCGGAAGATTACCTTTAAATTCTATATCAAATATAATACATACAAGTATATTTATACTTAACACGGTTGTTTTTACTACGTGTACCATTTTCGGTATACCTTGATACTTATTTATATCAAAAATTATATTCTTTCATTGAAAAAAAATCGTAAACATATTAAATATTAAAACGTGTACCGTTTTAAGTACACATGGCATGGTAACGACACTTACAAGCAATTTGACATAGATATATATATTTCGTTAAATAATTTTTAAATATCAACAATATAATATATCGTTAATATTTTACTTACATATAGAAGATCAAAGAAAAGAAATATCATAGAAAATAATGTTCCAATTAAGAAAATTATCTTAGAAAAATAATTTATCAAATCTACGTACCTTAAATCCGAAGAAAATAAAAAAAAAAAAAAAAGAACAAGAAAAGAAAATAAATTAAAAAAGAAATATGTAAATGTAAGACAAAAATAAATAACAACAAAAATATGATTCGATGCTTACTCCGTTATTCTTGTATAACTTTTTATTATTTGAATTATCGATTCGAATTCATCCTGATTTGTTTGAAACTTAATCTTTTTTTTGTATTCTTGTTCGTTTAATATTTGCCGTATTTTGAATCTGCAGAAGGAATATTTGAAAAAATATAATATTTCTATTCTTATGATTGTATAATATACTAGATAGAAAATAAAACAAATTGTCTATTTTTATATATTAAACACGTACATTAAAATGATAAGTTGATTGCATGCGTGTTGTATGAGATACAAATACATTATATAAATTACACAACCTATTATTAATAAGATAAGAATAACTGTTATTTGATAAAATAAAAGACTATAATATAACAGTCCCTTGTTAGAAATGTTAATTACAGGAAATGGTAGGATTAAATTCGTATTATCTAACGAATCAAAAATATTTCTATAAACACTTAAAATACTTGGTATAATTATTGAAATACCGTAGAGAGAAACAAAACCTGAAAAAAAAAAACAAAGAAAAAAATCACGAGAACATATTTAATAGAAAAAAAATATTCTTTATTGTCATAAATATATACTAACCAATTAAAATGGCCGTAAATAATTTATTTAATTTATGTTGCTTTTTTAAAATATGTAATCCATTTTCGTCAAAAATGTGTTTGTAATCGTGTTTGTAATAACCAATCAATTTTCTTACCTTAAAATAGGATTTTTTTACTTTTTTCATTATATTTATAATATTAAAAGATAGAAGTATTTTATAATAAAAATTGTACGAACAGTTGCAAAATGGAAGTAAACAAGTTTGTATATAGAGAGTACACATATACCATTTAATAACCTATGCAACAAATTTAAATTTGATTGCAATTTAACGTCCGTCGTAATGAACTGATAAAACTAAAACAAAACATTTAAAAAGTTGTTTTTTTTTTTACAAATTTCATTAAATTCTACACAAAAAATTGATTTAACCGGTTAACCGTGATTTACGATTATTTTTGACAGAGATATTTTTCAAAGAAGTTGCCACAGTTAACTGGTTTGGATAAAAAAACAAACAAAGCAAATTACAACACATATAAATAATACAATATATTATTATAATTTAAATAATAAAAGTACTATTTTTACCTTATCGTCTCCTCTCTCTCTCTCTCTCTCTCTTATTTGCTATGTATAATTATATTTCACAATTAAATTTGCATCGATGCATGTGCATTAACTTAAAAACAAAATAAAAAAAATAAAAAACTAACATTGCATTACTAATATGTAACGAAAACAATATTTATAATAATAATTATAATAA